TTACCAGATCTCGTATGTGGTAGGACAAGAAGGTGATAGCGATATCGGATTAGATGACATTAAGGCTAATGCTAGTAAGTTGAGTTTTGAAAACTCAAGGATTCGCGATGCTTATATCGCGTTGCAGTATTGGAAAACAGCAATGTTTTCTGATCCTTTTAACTTCACAGCTAATTGGACAGGTCCAAATGTGTGTTCCTATGGTGGAGTGTTTTGTGCTCCTTCGTTAATGGATGATTCGATTAGAGTTGTAGCTGGCATTGATCTTAATCATGCTGATATTGCTGGTTCATTAGTTGCAGAACTTGGTCTTCTTACAGATCTGGTTCTTTTCCATCTCAACTCGAATCGTTTTTGTGGAGTTGTACCAAAAACCTTTAGCCATTTGAAGCTTCTTAGGGAGCTTGATTTGAGTAATAATAGGTTTGTTGGTGGGTTTCCTAAGGTAGTTCTTTCACTACCTTCTTTGAAGTTTTTGGATCTAAGGTTTAATGACTTTGAAGGACCAGTTCCTTCAGGACTTTTCGATAAAGATTTGGATGCGTTGTTTTTGAATGACAATAGATTCCGTTTTGGCATCCCGGAGAACTTGGGTAACTCTCCTGTTTCGGTTCTTGTGTTTGCTAATAACGATCTTGGAGGGTGTATTCCCGCAAGTATTGGGAAAATGGGGAAAACGTTGAATGAGTTGATATTGATGAATGATAACCTCACTGGGTGTTTGCCAATGGAGATTGGATTGTTGAACAAGTTAACCGTGTTTGATGTTAGCTTCAACAAGATTCAAGGCTCATTGCCATCAACTGTGAGCAAAATGAGGAGTGTGGAGGAACTGAATGTGGCTCACAACAAGCTTACTGGGGTTATACCAGCTAGCATTTGCCAACTTCCTAGGTTGCAAAACTTTACGTATTCCTTCAATTACTTCACCGGGGAAGCTCCAGTTTGTGCTGCGACTAGATCTGGTGACGGCCAGGAGAACTGTATCGTTGGAAAGAAGAATCAAAGATCTGCTAAAGAATGCTCTTCGGATGATGCAAAACCGTATGATTGTAGGAAATCCAAGTGTTATAGCCCTTTTGCTACATCTCCTTCGACAAAGCCAAAACCAAAACCAAAGCCAAGAGGCCCACCACCACCTACTTGGAAGTCTTCGGGTTCGCATAACAAGCGATCTCCGCCGCCACCTAAATCAACTCCTCTTCCTCCACCAGCACCTTACAAAAAGTCCCCAACCTATCAACATAGAAGTCCACCACCACCTACTCACAAAATTTCACCTGTAACTCATCATTCACCTCCTCCACCCTCACCTGTATATTACCACCCATCTCCATCGTCCCCACCACCACCAGTTTATTATTCTCCACCACCCCCCGTGTATCATGAGCCACCACCTACTTACAAGCCTAAATCACCACCACCACCACCAACACCGTCGTATGAACATCCAAAAACTCCATCACCACTACCACCAACACCGTCGTACGAGCATCCAAAAACTCCACCATCACACGAACACCCAAAAACCCCATCACCACCAACACCATCATACGAGCATCCAAAAACACCATCACCACCAACACCATCATACGAGCATCCAAAAACCCCATCACCACCACCACCAACACCATCATACGAGCATCCACAACCCCAATCACCACCACCACCACCAACACCATCATACGAACACCCAAAAACTCCATCACACCCAACCCCACCTACCCCACCTTGTAACGAACCACCACCTCCACCTCCTAATTCACATTGGGAACCAAAACCATCACCACCATACACCTACTCATCACCACCACCTCCATCACCATCTCCTCCTCCTCCCACTTACTACTACTCATCACCACCGCCACCATCACCATCACCTCCCCCGCCCACTTACTCTTCTCCGCCACCACCACCACCATTTTACGAAAATATTCCTCTCCCACCGGTAATCGGAGTCTCCTACGCATCTCCACCACCACCAGTCATTCCATATTACTGAACAAGGGTTATCAATTAGCCTTTGATTTTCCATTATCAAAAAAAAAAGAATTCATTTTTTTTTATGAATTATGTATACTTTGTTATTTATTTTTTGTAATATTTTTATTTTGAGTTTGATTATATTTATGAAAAATTGGGATTATGGGCGGGAATTAGTGAGGGGTTTAACTATCAATATTTGAATATTGTTATTATTCAGTCAGGGTGGTTGTGTAAGTTGTGTATAACTATAATTTTACTGTTTCTTTTAGTAACAACTCATTTATTTAATTTTTAATAAACATCTTTGTGAATCAAGCTGTGCATTAGCATATATCATAAATGAGTTTCTTCATTTTTCTATAGCATCCATAATTATTTTTACAAATTAAATGTGTGTACATTTTCTTTTTATAATTAATGCTTTTCTTCAAGTCAATGATCTATCGAAAATTTCTTTTCTATCTCCAATTTTAGGTATATCACATCTTTTCCAAACCCCTTCTCAAGAGGTAAATAAAGTAAATCATATTTTCGGATATTTCTAACACAACATACGTTAACGGAGTCATCAGCTAAATTTTAAAATCTACAAATACTCGGATATTAGAAAGTATAGAGATTCAGAGTATTGTACTACTCTGTCAATCCTGAGTGGTCCACTACAAAATTAATTACTAGGAAGTGTATGCTAAAAATTTAAATTTTCACAACTACTATACATTGGCAAGACCATTATTGCATTGCCAATATTTATATATCTTCAAGAAATGGCAGTAATCAATCAATAGCAATAATTCACTGCAAAATAATTTCAAATTATTTAAGATTTCCAATTATTGAAGCCAACTGTTCAGTGGCAGAAAGCTGTCTCCTATACAAATCTACACCACACCACCACCTGGTCATTTTTACAGTCCACAGAAAGAAAATAAATGAGAGCACAAATATATATTCTTTTTTTGTTGAAAAATCCAATAAAGTGAGGACTTTTTGGTGGAGTTATTTTGGGAAAGATAGAGGCTTGAATATGTCAAAGAGAATATTTATAAACGCTCTAACGAGGGGTATGAACAGTTGACACTAGCTAGAGGGCCTAAGTTAATACGAGAGACTTTCGAGGAGTAGAGATCGAGCGTCGAAATACCAGTGGATCAATTTGTCTTTATTCAATATAATTAAGGATATGTATAGATGATACAATGAGAAAGTATGGGCAGTTGACATTAGAGGGCCTAACGAAAAGTAGAGGTAGACAGATGGTACGCCGAAGAAATATAAAAAAGATGTGATCGTGCATGATATTACAAGTTTACACCTTAAATAAAACATGACCCTAAAAAGGCGTAGAGGTCCAAGATTTGGATACAAGGCTAATAGCCTAGTAGCATGAAGGGATACTCTCTCCTATCTACATTATAGGGCGTAGTTAGTGTTTAAGTTAATTACACTTTTTGAAAATTTATTCTTAGGTAAGTTGATTTTCACATAGTCGAGATATTATTATTATTATTAATAGATTAACTACTATCTAATTAAGAGTGTTTTTGGTATGAAGGAAAATATTTTCTAATTTTCCCATGTTTGGTTGGGACAAAAGTTTTGGATAAAGTTTTCCAGATCAACTCATTTTTTTCTAAATTAAGGAAAACATTTTCCAAAATTTCCCTCCACTTTTAAATTACATTTCTTTTTTGGAAAACATCAATTTTAAAAAAATATATTCTGGAAACCTCATGACAAACACCATCAAGTTAAATGTCGAATTTAACATTTAATATAAACAGGAACAAATGCATGGAGTATCGAAGACATTGAGTTTCATAAACAAAGAATCGAAATCTTCAGCTGATTAGAATAAATAGGAATACTAAAATTCAAACATATTTCAAGTTAATTATCAAGCTAGCTTTTAGAACGACCTTACATGTCTAGGATTAAGCTTCTTCTCATTCTCACACCAGCTTACATGTCTAGTATCAAATAGTTTCGGCATCATCAGTAAAAAGCCAAGATAGAGGTGGCCACAAAATATCTTCTAACTTTATTTCCTGCATTCTTATAGTAAATACAGTTTCCTCTGCAGTAGTGATCACCAAAATGTGATGAAGAAACAGAGAAACAACAATTGTCATCAGCAAAGAAAATTTCATCACCTAATGCATGCACTCATGTTGTTCTTCATCAAGCCGGTATTTCCATGGGATTGATTGTTCTGCAACTTAACATCAGTATCTAAAAACATATCAACCAGAAACAACTTAAATTTGGTACTGACATACACAGTGTAAGCCCAAGTGAAGTCCGGGAAGGGTGATGTGTACATAAACCTTAATCCTACCTTATCAAAACAGAAACATTGTTACTAAAGACCCTCGGCTTAAGTCAAGCACTACAAAACAGGTTTCAAAAGGAGATGCTGAAAATAATAGTGAAAAGAACAATGACATCCGGAGGAGATGCTAATATTTCATGTTAGTTATGCTGTCCTATAGACAGTAAGCCACATATCCTAATGGTTGACGAAATGCATGACAAAGATAATGTGCAAGCACCAAATATGTGTCACGGTTCGTCCCCTGTATACATTCAAACAGTTTAAGTAGTATTAATCCTAAATAAGCCAAGGGGAGACAAAAGGGAACAAGCCTATTCAACTCTCAGCTGCTAAAGAGTAAAAAACAACAATAGACTATACCTCTATACACTTCGAATTGAGTAGCATTACCGTAATAGTATAGATATATCTGCAGGAAGTTGCAACTCCTAAAAGCTACATTTATTTTTTTATGCATAATACATAAACAGGATCACGATTCTTGTTCATGTTACTATTATTATCCAACACTTTTGGTTATCAATATTGATCTGGAAACCTCAATGGCACTTGACAAACTCTTAAAAATGTTGTGCAGTATGCACGTTAACTCAACATTTAATAATATAAACGAGACAATGAATGCATTAGTTAAATGAAGTGCATGTGAATACAATAAAAGAGTTTCATAAACAAATCTTCACCTGTGAAACGGAACCTTCTTCATGTAGGGCGTGTCATTAAACGACCTTACATGTCTATCATCAATTACAAAGTGCCAAAACTCTGCCTGATGATCGTCAGTAGTAAAAATCCAAGATGGTGGTGGCCAGAAAATATCTGCATATTCGATGAAGGATAACAATGAACCAAGTTTACCATCTCGTAAGCTAAAGATACCTGTGTGATGACCATCTAATCCTTCATATCTAAGTTTCACTTCTTCGCTAAGACCAGATACCAAATGATCTTCAAAGTCGTATGCATAGTACTTTGACGGATAACATTTCCTATCCACAATTATACCTCCGTTCACATAGTAAATACAGTTTTCTCTGCAGTAGTGATCACCAAAATTTGATGAAGAAACAGAGAAACAACAGTCATCACCAGCAAAGAAAATTTGATCACCCAATGTATGCACTGCAATCCACTCGTGTTGTTGTTCATCAAGCCGGTATACCTTAATTTCTTTGGGACTTTTCCATGAAGGTTAAGAACCATGCCACTTTGTCTTAACATCAGTATCTAAAAGCATATCAACCAGAAACAACTCCCCACCTGATTCGATTAGTCGTTTCTTAGTACCCCATTCGTTAAACACCTTTAATGTGGAAGATACGATGGTGTGATCGTTAGACAAAGAGGAATCATACATTATGGTCTGTCCATAAGTATCAACAACATAAAAATTCCCCTTATAAACAATAATATCGACAATCTTACTATGAGTGGGATGTTTCAAGGTAGTCCATTTGTTATCCCCTGATTTAACACACAATAAGTGATCAATAGTAGCCATTATAGAAAACTGATTGGTTTGATCATTCCAAATAGGCAAGGCTTTATTAAATAATTCATATCCTAGCATACAATGTATGTAATAGTTTAAGTCCCAATGCACATGATAGAATTTACAAACTTGAGAAACACGAAAATCTAGAAAATTCAATTTCGTCGTATCAGGCAAATTATCCATCACTCTGATGGTTAGAGGATTCAAAATCTTAAATTTTCCAGGTCCTGTTTGTAGAATCTTGACCAACCAGCCTGTGTGAGGAGGATGAGGAAGTTGGATAAGATAAACACTGCTTTCGATTAAATAAAAATGTGATTTGAAATCAGTTGTACATAACATGGGTTGGTGGGGAAAAGGCGGTTCGTAGGGTAATTTGATGGGAAACTCAGATTTGGGGATTTTAAAATCAGGAGAAAGTGTTGAACGCCATGAACTGCATACTGCACGAATTCGAAGGATATCAATATGACTCTCCACAAATTTACTGATTCTTTCAACAAGTTCTGCAGGAACATCACACCAAGGAGCCATCATAAAGCTAGCTTTTTTCCAATTGAAAAAACTATATTAGTTGGTGAATGACATATTTAATAGTATCTCAATGATTAATTATACTTCTCATTAATCAAGGACTCTATAATTAATAGGAAATTGCATTTTTATTAGTAACAAATATTTACAGTAGTAGTATTTCGAATTTTAAGGGAAAATAGGTTTGAGCTCAGGTATATCCCCTAGTAAAGTGTTGCCATACATAAACTAATATTGTATATTTTTATTAAGAGAAAATACATAAATGAAGTTGTTTCGAATTTTTAAAAACACTTAAATTATGCAAGCGTCCTATTACCCCTAAACAACTTTGGATTGATATTATCATATCATTTTTTATCCACCTGGCATGAAAAGTGATGTACTCTCTTAAAGAGCATGAACAAACTAAAAAATGAATATAATTTTATTTTTGAAAGTATTTTGCTATAAAATACACTTTCTTGTTTATCTTATTATAAAAACAAAGTATGTAAATCTTTAGCTAGTTAAATACCAGATAGAAAAGGCAACATTTGAGGCGTAAACTTAGTGATCGCCAGTATAAAGACAAGATGAGGGTGGCCAGAAATTTTTTGCATAATCAAGGAAGGATAACAACTAACCGAGTTTACCGTCTTGAAAGGCAATGATACTTGTGTATTGACCTTTATAACTAAGTTTTACTTTTTCGCTATTGTCATTTCTCAAGATGTTCGCTCACAGGTACACCTCCATTCATTTAAAGGACTGTTGTTAAAATCTATCACATATGGATGGATATACTGTAACTTATCAAACAAACCCAACAATAGAAAAGTATATAAGTCCTATAGTGGAAGTATACTTAATTAGTTTGCTACTCATAGTCACGAAGGTGTAACAAGTCCTAAGCTAATGAGTCTTTTAGGCAAAAAACAAAATAGAGCACCCAGATTTCAAAAGGAAAAACGAGACATTACCTTCTTCTTTTCAGAGCAGCGGGAGCTTGACCGTGAAGCTTCTACACCACAGTGTGCTTAACTCGAACAAGCAAAGAATCAATACAAAATAAAAACTAGCTCTCGATTTTTCATAATTTTTGAAAGAAATAAACCTCTGTTTTATCTGAATTAATGCGACGTTTTCGGGAGAAAGGAAGAAGGAGGCGCGTTGGGTTTTTTGGCATGAAGAAAACGAGGTCCGGTCGTTTTTGGTATTGTATGTATGTTGGTGGGTTGGGCGTTTTTGGTATGATTGCTGACTGGGCTGATGGAAATGGAAATCAAATAGAAGAGAATGGATTATTGGAATTTGGGTCTGTTTCGAGAATTGGATTGACCCATTTTTTGAGCTTTTGAGGAGTTGAATAAAGTAGTCATATGGATTTCATTGGACTTAAGAATTTAACCAAATTAAGCTTAATAGGTGATTCAACTAAAAATTAAATAAGATTAATTTATATATTTGGGGATAAGTTGTTTGACAAGAGACAAAAATTTTAGGATTTTTAAATTTGATAGGTTGAATGTCATGATTGCAGAGTACACAAATTCAAAAATTGTTTTGTTGATTCTTTCAACAACTTCTTTAAGCAAAAAACAATGAGCTTGTGGTTGGAAACCTAGCATTTCAGAATCCTATATATCATTTATTATTTTTTCAGGACTTGCACTCTAAATTTTTTTTGGTCTCGACTGCATAAAAGTTTTTCTTGTTGATTTCAATTTGAATAAAACTAAAGTCAAGGCGGACAAAGGAAGAAAATTGAAAAGTTGGTCAACGGAAAATTTCTTAGCACATATCAGATATCATCAAGGCTATTAAAAATGTTATGCAACATGTTAACTGTCGAATTCAACAATACTATTGAAAAATCAATCAAGCATCAGATACATTAGCGAGTCTTATCAAACACAAGTATAACTTTTTACTCATCGATGCAATAATTAAAAATGGAGTATTTAAAAATACGAAATGATATTCAACTCGAAAGACATGACCATACGTAGAGATTACATGGTACTTTTGGTCTCAGCACAACGAATTGAGACATCTTTTCCAAGGCATGTCACTTGTCTCACAAAAGGTAGATGTAGTGCCCGAATCAAATTGGTTGTTTAAAAGAGGCGTATTAATTTAATTATTTTTAATATAAATGCCATGTTGTAATTTAAAAAGGAGGTGATAATTTCATTTGTCATTTAAAGAAACGGAAAAATAAGTTGGATATTTTTAGCAAACCAACTAATGTTATATATATGCGAAAAGTTTGACGACAAGAACACAAGTGAGCCAAACTTCAAACGAGGTATACCCTAACATTTTTAAATCGTTTAAGAGCATATTTGATTCTTTTTCCTATTTTATATACCTGAAGGACTTTCTTGGCAGTATGTGTTAAACAGGGAGGACAGAAATAGAGCAATCTTAAGATTTGAGGGACCAATTGAGTTAAAAATTACTAGTATATTAGAACTTGAAAATATCCACATATACAAACTACTACTAAAAAACTGACTTGATAGCCTCTCAGTTTGAACCAGTTTGCAAAAACCCTAATTTCAGAGTTCGCTACGGTATAGGGTTCCGTCAAAGCTAACCAGTACACTGGCGGAACACCGAGCCATCGGCCAACCGGCAGAGAGCATCATCGCAAATGGACTTCGACGAGTACGATTATCTGGAGAAGACTGTGGAAGAGACCAACGGTACTTCTACGAAGAGCAAAGACAAAGACAATAACAGCAGCGCCGAGAAGGAGAAGAGCGAGAAAGGCTATCGTCGAAGGGAGAGAGATGGAAGTGAGGAATACGCCGACGACGACAATAGAGAGCGCCGGAGCAGCAAAAAGTCTCGCGGGGACGGCGAAAGCATCAGAGAGAAGGATAAGGAGAGAGATAGGGAAAGGTCATCGAGGCATCGGAGTAGGGAACGGGAATCTGAGAGGGACAAAGAAAGAAGCTCAAAAGACCGTGACCGTGACAGAGAGAAAAGGGAAAAGGAGAAAGAGAAAGAGAGGGATAGAGACAGGGAGAAGGAGAAGGAACGTGATAGAGATAGGAAGAGTAGAGATCGGGATAGAGATAAGGAGCGAGATAAGGAGAAAGATAGGGAGAGGGAGAGGTCAAGGAGGAGCCGTAGTCGCTCGAGAATCGAGCGAGAGCGAGAGAAAGAGATGTTGAGAGACAGCGAGCGTGACTTTGAATCACGGGACAGCAGGTTATACTCTTTGCTTCGCTTGTATCTTATGTTACATTATTAGTCTCATGTCATATCAAGTGCTGCTGTTTGTTGCTTCTTAACAATTTTGAGTTTATTTCAAAATGATTAGTGTTTTGATGATAATTATTAATTCAGGATGTAGTGATTGATGAATAGTTTCCAATGTACATCAATATGGTTGGCAACTGCAGTTATGTAGTTGGTTGGCAATTGCAATCATGTAGCTGCTAATGTGGTGAAAGGCATTGCGAAAACTAAAAAGAAATGATCAATATTTGCATCTCATCATCTTTATATCTCAAATTTATATCAATTTTTTTACCGGGCTGTCCACTGTTTTGTAACCCAAAAAACAGAAAATTAGGTAATGGTTGAGTTTAAGTATGTGCTTGAACACACTCTGCTGAGTGTTTCGAGTTCTAGTAGGTTCAAACGGAGAAGGCAATTTAAAGTGGTCTAAGTGCGTAAAAGAGTGTCAGTTTATCCACAAAGAATGTAATATTCTGACTTGGGTTGAAATCGTAGATGGATTGTTTCCACATCTTAATGGGCTAACAATGCGGAAACCCTTCAAGGCTCGATTGAAGAAGTGGCTTATTCCCACATATATTGAGTATGATAAGGTCTGTTAAGTTTCTTTTGGTCTTTGAGATTTTCGCTCACTCTTGAATCCTTCTAATGTTTTTGCATTGATGGATTTAAGGTTACTTTTTTCTTAAATCTGATTTGAGATGTTGACAAATGATGTATTGAATTTCTAGGTTGGCAAAGCATATGGTGTGAGGCTGTATCAGTTTTTCAACCTTTTCTTCTGTTCGAAGACGAAAATACATTAACCCTATATGTCATTCTTTTTTTGTGAAAGCAGGGAAAAGTCTCAAAATTTTGGTGCTGGGCAGCGTATAATGTCACAACACATACTGCATTCATATTCTTAACTTGAAGATGCTTCGAAAGTTCAAATTATCTTCTAGAATTTGCTCTATTTGTACTTGTTTTCTTTTTCTCTGGGAATGTTGCGTTTTGCTGGTGGTTGGATTTCTATTTGCTTCCTGTTTAGATATATAAGATGAAACTCATTGGGGGTCATTGAGCATTTATGAGGAGATCGTGCTATATTCACCTAAACAAGTAGATAAATGAAGTTTGCATTTTCTACTAGCCTATTGGTCTATCCAAAACTTTAGAATCTTGTTGACTTTTTCCACATTTGTCTCCAAAGGGCTTGCCTTGATGATCTATCCTGCTGCAGTAGCTACTCCATCTAATTGAGAAGAGGTGAAATTTAGCACAGCAAGGGAGGCTTTAGAGGATGATGATTCCTCATGTCATAATGTAATTTGTAGAATGTCCATGTATTTATGCAAGTTTGGTTGAGCTTTGATGTTTATAGTAGTTGATTACCTTCAATGTAGCAGGTGCTACATAAAGTACTTGAAATGAAAATCCACTCCCTACTATGTGCAACTTAAATTTTACAACCAGAGCCTCATATTTTTTCGTTCTTTACTAGCCTTGAGGTTAATGTGATTTAGAGGTTGATTTGCTTCAATATGTTCTATAGTGTGACATAAGAAAGTGAAGGGTCATGAGCTCTAGCTGGTTAATAAATTCATGTTTAAAACAATTTTTTGCTATGATCTATGCCATACAGATTCTCATCATGGTCTGAGTCATTTATACAGGAGATTCAAGGAGAAGAAAGAAAAAATAGAACCAGAAGCTGATCCAGAAAGGGACCAGAGAACTGTTTTTGCTTACCAGGTAAATAGTTTCAACATCTTCTTTTCTGCCTTTTTCATCTACATACAACATACATAGTCATTTCTAGCTAGGTGGTTTATCTGGTCAAAAGGTTCATTCTCTGATTTATTTGGTTCGAACTTTTGTAGATGCCCTTGAAGGCGACTGAAAGGGATGTGTATGAGTTTTTCTCACAAGCAGGAAAGGTTAGTTCACTTGGTCCTCTATATTGCTTTATTGTAAATGAACTATGCTGCTGGCAAATTTATGGTTTGATGATCAATGTGTGCTGGTTATGCTTGTCCTAGAATTTCATTTTCTTGTGGTCCTCTAGAATTGATATGATACTTAATGTTTAGGACCCAAAAAATGATTTGTGTTCTTCGCTTGACCCTTCTTCCATAAACTATTAGTGCATGCAGTATGCATCTCCTTGCTGTTGCAGTAACTGCTTCTCTGCCTTCAGTATCAGGTAGCTTAATTACATTCTCATGTCTCAAGATTCTATACTTGATTGGATGAGCAATGATAGTCTGATCAGGTTTAACTGATGATTTTATGCATGACCTATTGCAGGTCTTGTGGTGTATATTGTATGAGTGTACCAAAAGGCCCTCTAAATACAGTTTATCCTGGTGATTTCTATATTTTGACACTCATTTTATACATTTCTAGGTGAGGGATGTGCGGTTAATCATGGACCGGAATTCAAGGCGATCTAAAGGAGTTGGGTATGTCTGTGAAACTCAACTCTCTATCTTACAATTTTGCATTTAATTTTTCCTTGATTT